CGTGCTTGAAATCAATGGAATATCTGAGTTTCATGTTTATCAACTGCTTATTATCCAGCTCGTGTATCTAATGGAAAGAAAATTCTTTGTTCCATGTAATTACTTGGCTCTATATAAGAAGCGAGTTGAATAGCCACCCAACACAAAAATTGCTCCAAACCAATCAATCGCTTTCTGGGGATTTTTAGAGGAAACGATTGTGCTTCTGAAAATGCATTAGATTGTTGTTAAATGTGTGGTGAGATTGAGTGTATTTATAAGCGTGAACGTTTAAGGGGCCGATGGTAGACTAATGAATATCCTTCGAACATAAATTAGAATTCAGTAATATCGTGGTCCGATTGAACAATTACTATATTACAATTAATTAAGGTTGAATTTTCCCTCCTTTTTGCCATTTTTCAAATGTCGTGTAATCGGATTGGATTCTCGACGACAAATGAAAAATGGCAAAAAGGAGGGAAAAATTCAAAAGTTGGGGTTGAGATAAGAAGTTGATCTCCGAGTGGATCGAGGTCGATAGCTCAAGTGGTAGAGCAGCGGCGTATCTAGCCGAAGATCGTGGGTTCGAATCCCGCTCGTGTCATTAACTTTTTTTCATCTCACCTAAAAACCTTAATTAATTGTAATAAATTAGAATAGTAACGTAGTTTATGTACAGCACCATATGGAGTACAACAATGGAAATAACCTATATATAGCTTTAAACCCTAACTAGTTTGCTGGACAGTCAACATCATTTAATAGGAGAATTGACTTCCTGTTGCTAATATTGTAAACGAATCGATGATAAATTATATATACATAATTATACGCCTTTTGTGTTAATGTATTGTGAGCTTCATTGTATTTATTGCGTAGGGTGATAGTGCCGGTGGTGGAATAATGAATAGCCATCGATTAAACTAGTGATACAGTTTGCGTAGTTAGCGTAAGGCTTACCTCTGACTCAGACAGCCAACATAATAAACAAGTTAACTGCCTTTTATGTTAGTTGTGCTTTTAGATTGAGCAAACTTATTAGCGTGAATGTGCATTTTTGTATTAGCTTGATATAACAATATTCCAATTATAAGTTTCCTTCCTAATACGCATATATAAAAGTATGAATTTTTTGTTTATATCAGAATGAGTATCAACTATGTTTAATTGTGAGATATCTTTGATCTGATCACAAAAACCGACGGTTTTATTAAAACCTGACCAAATCCTCCAAATGCGCGACAGGCGCACCACATCCTTCATAGTATCATAAAAAAAGACTTCATTTCACAAAAACCAGACAGACTCAACAGAAGAGGACGAATGCCGAAACACGTCTGACAGACCAACACAGGATAGGCAGAGCAATATGATCCGTAAAAACCAAATTTTAAATATATCATACGATCTTCTCGGAGCCATATACAGTTCGCCTAACTATCCGGCTTGGCCCGGGCAGCTTATGTTTTTTATGATTGTAGCATTAGGTAAAGTTTACTTTCTGTTGTTAATATTACCAAAGAATCGACATCAAATGCCGATTCCGTCAAATACTGATTCGTAAACTTGGAATTGCAGGGCTAAAAATAGCTTCTGCTTGATGCTCGTTTTCACAAACGTGCTTTAAATCAAGGAAACTTCTGATTTTCATGACTACTCTCATTTTACAGCTATGTATCATGCAATCCGAAAGGCTTTTAACACTACACGACATGTAATTATTCTTTTAAATTATGTAACTGTTGTTTTTAAGAAACTAGCCAACATTTAATTAAATATGAGCGATCAATGAGCAAGAAGACCTTTATGTGGTCGTTGTTTGGCATGTTTTAGATGGTTCTCGAGATGGGATGGTGTAATAAGGCTTCTTCAATTGGGTCAGATTGGGTCAAAAGCAACGTGGCCAAACTTCGTTGACGAAGAAATTTTAAGTTCATACGGTGACGGTAAGGTCAGCGATGTAGTAAGGTGCTTTTCGCAATATGCATGTTCGCTTATGGGTATGCGGCAGTTCCGCTTCCTAAGCCCAGACTGTCCGAAGTAAAGTTTTGACAAAGTTAGTCATGACGGATTTTAGACCGAAAACATCTTTCAATACCGTCCAAGACTTCCGGTAGGATCTTGAACATTATGATACGTGTAGAACTTCAGGCTGTCTAGATCCGAGTAACTTACTGTGTTATTTTTTTTCCATGTTCATTGAATGAAATTTCTTGGTTAGTTTTTGTTTGTCATCACTCTTTGGTATGCTCAAGGTAGGTGTTCTTATATGTTATACATATATGGATGTAAATTTATGTGAGTCACCTGTATGGTTGCTAGGTTGCCTTAAATTAGATATGAGAATTGTTTTATAATTATTACTTTTTGTAATTAATTTTTTTAGTCTCGCCTTCTAGACGTTGAACATTTTGTAGTATTAAATATGAAAATGATTGTGATTATTTTCATAAAATTCTTTTGGTTTTCCTTTAATCACTCTTGTAGGGTTGGTTTCATTTTGTTAGCAAGTAGTTTGAAGGCTGTAAACCACACTGGCCGCCCATTATAGTCTTCCCCTTTGGCCATTAAGGCGGGCTGCGTCAGTGTGAATAGAACCGCGGATCGTGAACTATCCGGGAAATTGCGGCTCAGGTTTTTAGGTTCCGCGTGATAAATTTCCCGAAGGAACGCAGACAGGAAGGCCGTTCCGAAGGCGTTTACAATCTCTCGGCGAAGCAACGGCCGAGGGCAAAATGGAAAAAACGACCCCATTTCAACAAATGTTGAGACCCTTTTCACCAGCTTGGAATATATCTTTTTAGCAGTGGTATTTCAGCATACAACCAAAGACTAGAGGGGGAGGAAAAAAGTTCGGGAAATCGCCAATGGATATAAATGCCACTTTATGACAATTCCGTTGTCAAATATACAACGTGATCTCGTTTTACGACACCGTTTTCCATGTCAAGTCGAAAAAAATATATAAAGTTTCTTGACGTACGGTTCACAGCGCCATTTCATTGAATCGAAAATAGTGCTTTGTTTACAGCTTTATGTTAAACTAATTGTCCATTGACTAAACATTCCTTTGAGAGTATCGAGCAAGTCCCTCCAATAGATCTACTATTTAGTGTTTACACAGCCTATGTTTTTTGTTAATTGAGTTTAGAAAAGGGAAGAATAATCGTGACATACGACGATTTTTTTTTTTTTTTTTTTGGTTTATGTTGGAAACCCACCCTACGCCTTTATTGATCCATCACGCGCTCCTGAACGACGATATATACACCTCAATATCACACTCTCTTATGAAACAAAAAATTAGATGGTACATGTCATTTCTACCAGCCGAAAGCAACGTTTCTAGAGAAAAAGGTCTGACCACACCGACGATTCGATACCAGACATTCCATAATTACGTGGTACGAATCTTCAGTGCGGCGACAAGCAGCACAATTGGGAGACTTCGTCAGACCAATTCTATATTTATGAGTACCCCCTAAGCCGTGGTTGTTTCTTATCCGTGTAATTATGGCAGAGAAAACGCGAGACGCCCTGCATCCTTGAAACCACGGTGCCATGGACAACAGAGGGAACGTAGAACGATACAATAATGACGATCCTCCTGGGGAAGCTTTATCCTTTGTGTATTCATATTCGCAAAATTCCCCTATATCGATAGTCTTTTTTGCATTTGAAACTTAACCACTAACCTAAGAACTTTAAATAAGCATAACATCATTAATTTTAAACCATCATCTTGATTTTTTTAAAGAAACAAATCCAAGATCATCAAATTAAATGAAGAGAAATATGCTGATAGGCAAAACAAGTGGCCACCATTAATATTTTTAAACACCTCTTAGAAAATCCTCCATTGATTAGCTTATAACAATATTTGGTACATTTTAAAGAATTAGAGATAAATAAAACACAGATAAAATGTGGGAGTTCGGTTTACAATTGGATTTTGTAAATAAATGTTTGAATAGTCAATATCTTCTTTGTTAGTTTTTCTGTAAAGCTTCTTTCTCACGTACGGTGGTTTGATTTTTTTTTTTTTTAAGTTGTATCATTTTTAAGTTTCAAATTTGTTTGAGTGATAGGATTAAGTGACACAGATTCCGCTAAAATCGTAGCATATGTGGCCAGGGTGCTTAACAATCCCAGAATAACTGTCCGAAGGGTCTTTCATCACTACAAAATGCTGGAGGTTACTCAAGAAGGCATGGTTCAAGTCGCCATCTTGTCACATCTCAATGAGACGAACGTTTTGTACTCCGAAACCGACATTCTACCGCTGTTGAGATCGAGAGACTTCAACAAGTTAGAAATGTTTATGCTCTGTAAGGCAAAGACTTTCAGAAAACGTATTTCGTGCGAGAAGGCCCGCCACTGGTCCAGAACTTCTGACAAGGCACAGAACAGCTCGGTTAAGTTTTGCAAAAAATTACATCAACTGGAATGAGCAATGGTTGGAATAAAATGTTGTTTTTGGATGAGTCAAGGTTTCGTTTGAGGGCTTCTGACGAGAGAGGGTTTGGAGATGAACCGAAGATCGATACAACCCCGCAGCTCTCTCCGGAGAAGCTATGGAGGTAGTGGTATTAGGTTCGGGGAGGCATTTCTATGGAAGGTCGCACAAACTTGATCTTCATCAAGGGTTCCCTAACAGCTGGATAGAAAAGGATAAGGAGTGTGACATTATATATAAGAAACATTGTATTGAGAAGACAACGAATATTATATTCTTCATTTAAAAAATGGGCTAAAAGCCGGACATAAAAAAAATATTTTGAACTAATTAAATAACATACTCTTGCGAGTTTCAGACTATAATGTTTAATAACGTCTAGCATTTTACCTTTGTTAACAAGAGATATCACTAGATCCTTTTAGTGTCCCAAATGGAACAATGAAACGGCCAAATTTACAAAATGGGGGACTCGTGTGTCCCTCGAATATGGGCGAAACAAAAGGGTTTATTTTTCAAAAACACAATAGCGGCTCGGACCGGCGACAAAAGAGGCACATACCTTTTGTGAGGTTGTGAAGTACGTTGTCCTGGTGCTGATGGAAGTGGGTCTGAGGTAGTACGATGAGCAGATACCCTCCGGTCAACGGGGACGGGGGTGGTCGCCCCTCCCCGGCGCTCTTGTCACCCATGCACTGGCTCTGGAAAAAAAAAAAACCTTTATTTATGGAAACAAAACGAAAAAAATCTTTAACACCTTGCAAATGCTTCAGTCACATTATGTAAATTTGCACCTCTAGTCAAGTTTTTTTTTTTTTTTTTTTCCCAACTACGAAGTTACTATTGAGTATTGTACGATATCGTTCATACGATACAGACTCGAATTATATTTTCTATATACGCAATAACCTATTATAATTTTTAAATATTAATAGAAGTACATGGGGACCGCAGTAGCTGAGTGGTCAGCGTGTGAAAGTCTAAACTCGTAGATCGTGGGTTCGAGTCTCGCCGTCGCCCCTAGAATTTCTGGCCCTTCCTCTCCTACAAAAATTATTCTGTCTATTGAATAAAAAATGACAAAAAGGAGGGAAAATTCGAAAGGTTGTAGGTTGAGATGGGGAGTGGGTGTCCGAGTGGATCGAGGTCACGAGAGCTCATGTGGTTCGAGAAGCGGCGAATTAAGCCGAAGGTCGTGGGTTCGAGTACCGCTCATGACACTAGCTTTTTCATTTCAACCAAGACCTTACATACAAAGACTAATTAATTGAATTCTATCCATTGATCATCTTTAAGATTGAGGTTAAAAGAACTCGGCCTATTTACAACTTTTACACACCGAGACCAAATTGGTCTCTTGTGCCATCTCCATTATTATAGAGCTCTTCATTAAGTTAAAGGCTGGTTATCAGACCCAATGGTTAAAGGCTCAAGTGTATACTCATCATACCATGGCTATTTTCTGTTTCTTAATCTAAATCATGATTATTTCTGTTTTTATTGTCAACTATTTACTAAAGATCAATTCAATAATAAAAATAAACCTAGCATTTAAGAAGTGAAGAATTTTTACTTTAAATTGGTCGCTCCCGACCATTTTGGTCTATGTCCTCGTTGTTGCGACATTGCATCTGCTCCGAATGTAACATTTTTTAGTATATTTTTCTAATAAAAACATAATTAACATTCATACTGTTATGAAAAAATTAAATGACCAACCCACAACATAATGATAAGGATATTATCGAAGGCTTGGCGACCACTCTAATCTGTACAGACATTTTGATCCTTACGTAATCCTACTTCATTAACATAATTAATATGGTTTATTTTTTGTAGCCTTAAACGCTTGGTTTATAGATATACTACAAAAAAAATCAATCTGCTTTTTTTTTATTGTTTGACTAGTAAGGTCTTAGTAATTTGGCTTTACGAAACTTTACCGTTGGTAAACAGTAAAATCTTCCGATATATCCGTTTATCATAAGCTGCCTAATTTTGTGCCAATTTGCAAAAAAATGAAACAGTTGCGTTTTCCGTTTAACAGGAAGGAAGAGGTTGCTGTTGGAAACTCAGAAATTGTTTTTTAACCAGCGAGACCTAGCAGGCCCGGATTAAAAGGAAAAGCCCAAAACTCCGACTAGCCTGGATTTAATTGACTTTTTCTCGTTATAGAACATCTTTTAATATCCGTCGGATACGAACATTTCATTTTGATCCGTGCGGCTTTAACGGCGTTTCCTAACCACTGGGCATGAAGCGAACTATGTTTGAACTGGATGCAAAGAACTCGGATAGTATCGATTATAAATATCTGCTATAAATAGATTTTTATGTTTATGGGATTTATGCCAGGTCAACTGTATTAGATATGTAGTTTCTTACCGATCATTTTGTCCAACGCTATACAAGACGGTTTCAAAATTGTGTAAAAATACATCATCTCCAGTAAAACTAGTTATGTCTCCAATATTCAGGGATAAGCTCAATAGTAAAGAAAAAAATAAGTACATTCGTCAAGCTTACGAAGCATATATCGCCTTCATTAGGAAGCCAAAGCATTAATAACTAAATATCCAGTATTGTCCGAATCATTTTTGATATCTTGAAGTCTTGATGAAGAGGTTATAACTTTCAAAATTGTGGTTTAAATTGATAATCATCAACAAAATATTTTTAAAAACTTTCCTATATTCTATTTCCGCATTTCTTATATAATGTAAATTTATATTTGGTATGGTTTGAAATAAAAAACATTATATTATTATTTCAGCATAGTTGTTGGTCGATCTGAAATTCATAAAATCCCGATTTGTTCTCACCTACCTGCAATAAAGAAAAACTCGTGCGTCAAAATCAAAATTTGGAAATTTGTTTCTATCATAAATTAAACCCCAAAAAATGTGTTGGTTTTTGTTAATTCAAGTTCATCATTTCTCTCTCACTCTCTCTCTCTCTCTCTCTCTCTCTCTCTCTCTCTCTCTCTCTCTCTGATTCTGCTTGCGCCTCGTTTCGGTTGTTCAAAGTTTTTAGTTCTCTACTTAAACAGCAAGAAAACAATCAACCAATTCGCTTCCAAACTTTTCAAGTGAGAAAATACAGTTGCTTCAGATCTGAACAAAAGGGGGCATATTATGCACCATGAATAATAAACGGGCGTTAACGAAGAGCTTAAATTTTCAAACCTGCCTCTACTGAATGACAATGTTACATAAAGTTAGCCTTAATGAGCACTATACATTTTTCATTGCATGATTTTAAAGAAACAAATTAAAGACTATTTAAGCTGATTAATAATAAACAGAAATAGTCTTTCCTTGAGGGAATTTTTTGACGAGAAGAAGGGGCGATAAAGTAAATTAATTTCTTTTTTACAATAGGGCTTAACGTCCAGCTAATCGTTTGGATATTATCCATAATTAAAATTACATGGACTTTGCCATACCACACGTTCAATGTTAACTAACATTATTTCCTAAATTTAGGGTTGTACTGCATTTATAAATAGTTCTGTTTCTACTCTAATTGTGATATTTCTCCATGCCGCTAGCTCTNGAGAGAGCGAGCAGTGAAGGTAGTGAGAATGAGCTGAAAGAAGCGAGAGTGGAGGAATAGAGAGAATATTGTAGAGAGAAGAAAGTAAAGGCAATGGGAGAGGAATGGAAAGGACGGTAGGAGAGTGGAGATATAAAAGAGAGTAGACAAAAAATATAACTTGTAGAGAAGAATATAGAATCTGATAATATATAAACAGAGAACAAGAGAGAATGAGCGGGAGAAAGAGAAAGAGAGAACGAGAGAGAGTGAGAAGGAAAGAGTGGGAGAGGGAGAGAAAGCGAGAGTAACAGAGAGATAGAGAGAGAGAATGAAAGAGAGTGAGAGAACGAGAGAGAGGGTGAGAGGGGGAAAGAACTAGAGAGCGCAAGAGAGAATGAAAGAGAGAGTGAGAGAGAGAGGGAGATAGAAAAAGAGAATGAGAGAGAGAGTGAGAGAGAGAGAGGGAGATAGAAAAAGAGAATGAGAGAGAGGAAGACAAGTAGATAGATAGAGAGAGAGGAAAAGAGAAAATATGTCAACTCGACCATTACGGCAGCTTACTACGATTAATTTTTATTTTCGTAAAAATATAAGTTTCATTGTTGTTTGCTAGAATGAAAGAGCCCAACATTCATTGTAATACAGTGCTATATTTAACAGTTTGAATTACATTTTGTCTAATTTTTTCGGAACTGTCAAACCAACTGGATTCATATTTCGTATAAGTATCTATAAACAATAATGTACACATAATTTTAAATTGAATAGTATTAGTAGTAAATTTTTTTCAGCCAATGTCATTTAAAGGGGGGGACGTTTTCAAGCTTAGAATATAAATAACTTTAATTTTAAAAAAACCTCATAAAGATTGAAAAAAAATTATAAGTTTTACTGTGGATTTGATGAGAAAAGCTTGGCTTATTTAATTAGCAAAACCGCTTGAATTGCTAGTCATTTACTTAATTATGGCCATGGCACAAATATCTATTAAATAATAAGGGCAAACGAGGAAAGTACACTCAGCATTACTTGGGACTTTTTATTGGAATTGGAGGGCTTGATTATAAAATCGATATCGGTTTTGCTTCGTCCAAAACCCCTGTCATATTATCCGGGTTAGAATTAATTTCACGCTAGGGTTATGTTAGGCTTAGGTTCCCCGAGGAAGAATATAAAGACAATTTCAATAGTCGACGATTTAATCATGAATGTCAAAGAAAGAAAAAATATTGATGGAGATTCAATTTGACTTTAAGGACAAGTTGTCATACAAGAATTGAATTGATCGAAAAATTTCACCTTTAACTTAAACTGGGTTTTTGTATTTTTACTTAAATAATAAACTTAATGTCATTTTCCGGCCAGACGCACAACATAAGAAATTTCATATACGCCAGACGTTTCGAACTCACGACTGGTAGAATACTACATTTTTAAACAATTCCATGCTTTTATTTTTAAATGTTATTTATATGCCAACAGATTTTCTTTTCTTTGGACACTTGAAAAATGATTGTTTTAACAAAATTCAACCTAACCGAGGAACTGTTTTCAAGTACAAAGGTTAATTTTCCGTCCTTAAATTCATTACAATCGATTCCTTATGAATAAACAATTAAGCACGCTTCGTGTTTTGAATGCCGGTTGGGCTTATTTGAAAGGTGTTTTGGATAGAGGCTTAATTAAATCAATCAATCTTGATAAGCTCGGTTGAGGACTTGACAGTGCAACTGGATTTCTCAAACAAAAGACAACCCAGTCTTTTGGATTCATTGAATGAGGTGTTTTCAAATTGTCAATAAAGTTTTATAGCAATTGTGCATTATATCTAATTATCACACGCTCATTATTGTCTTATTCTTGTTTAACAGAATCATTTAACAGATTTCACTAATTTAAACATATTTTTTATGAAACTTATCACATTTAAATTTAATTTGAAAAAGATGTACTTTAATTCATTCAAAGTTTATTTATTTTGAGTTAAGCTCAAGTCTGTAGATATATGTTCATTCAGACACAAATATATAGAAAACAGTCATTTCAGCTTTCCAAAGCATGAAGTTTTACATCTAGATATTCCTATCCTACTAGATTCCTGTTGAACAAAAGTATTTAACACATTACACTAATTAAACATAATATTTGACAAAACTTATTACAT